TCATTTTCTAAATGGATTGTTGGCTATTGGCTTCTTTACTGTTGAGTTTTGAGATTTCTTTATATATTCTATATCTTAATCCTTTGTCAGATATGTGGGTTATAAATATTTTCTCTAACTCTGTAGCTTGTCTTTTCATCCTCTTAATAGGGTCTTTTACAAATGAAAATATTTTATGTATGTATGTATGTATGTATTTGAGACAGGGTCTTGCTCTGTTGCCCCAACTGGAAGACTGGCGTGCAGCAGCACAATCATAGCTCACTGTAACCTTGAACTCCTGGGCTCAAGTGATCCTCCTGCCTTGGTCTCCCGAAGTGCTGGGGTTATAGGCCTGCGCCACTGCACCCAGCCTAATTTTGATGAAAATTTATCAATTTTTACTCTTATGGATTATGCTTTTCAAGTCAAATCTAAGAACTCTGCCTAGCCCTAGATCCTAAAGATTTTCTCCTATGATTTTATCTTTTCTGTCCTTTTCTTTCTTTCTATCTTTCTTTCTTTTTTAGTTCATGTCTTTTATTAACTCACATACAATTACTTGTCTCCTGGTTTATTGAAGCAGTAAATTAGACAACATTTGCCACAATAATGTCTATCAAAGTGGCTGGCCATAAAAATTCCAGAACCACATTCATCTGAAGGATACTCCCAGTGAAGGCAACTAATGTTGCCATTCTCATCCACCTTATAGTATTTCAGGACAGCCATCTTAACCTTCTTTCTCTTATGCTTATTCTTCTTGGGAGTGGTGTAAGACTTCTTCGTTTCCTTAGCACCAACACAAAGTCTCAACACAAGGTGAAGAGTGCACTCCTTTTGAATGTTGCAGTCAGAGTACATCCATCTTCCAGTTGCTTGCCAGCAAAAATTAGTCTTTGCTGATCAGGAGGAATTCCTTCCTTATCCTGGATCTTAGCCTTTACATTTTCTATTATATCCAAGGGTTCAACCTTGAGAGTGATGGTCTTCCCCGGTGGCAGTTCCACCGCAGGTGGTGGGTCAGAAAAAGCTCTTTTCTTTTCTTCTCTTTTCTTTTCGTTTTTGAGACAGGGTCTTGTTCTGTCACCCAGGCTGCAGTACAGTGGCATCACTGTAGCTCACTGCAACCTCAAACTCCTGGACTCAGGTGATCCTCCTGCCTCAGCCTCTTGAGTAGCTGAGACTACAGGTGTGCACCACCATGCCTGGCTAATTTTTAAATTTTTTTATAGAAACAGGGTCTTGCTATGTGGCTGGTCTCAAACAATCCTCCCACCTCAGCCTTCCAAAGTGCTAGAATCACAGGCATGTACCACATGACCCAGGTCCATATATATTTTAGAACTATCTTGTCTATGTGTATAAAAACCTTGCTGGGACTGTATATCACATTGAGGAGAATTGACATCTTCATATCTTCATTATGTTGAGTCTTCCAATCCATGGATACAGTATTTCTTGCCATCTATTTAGATCTTTGGTTTCTTTCATCAGCATTTTTAGTTTGAAATATACAAGTCTTGTACTTATTTTTTTTT